CTTTTTGCTTAGAAGTCCTCCCTCGGAATAGTGGAGTCAAAATTTTGCGAGAGCGAGTCAAAATTTTTGCCGGGGCGAAACTAAAAAATACATTACAAATTAATTAAGAATAGTGGACCAGCGGACAATGTTGGGGGCGGTCACCCCCCGCCCCCTATCTCCGTCTCTAGAGGAAACAATCTCGGGTTTTTATTATTCTTCAATTGTCAATACCATTGGCTACTCTTATTTATAGAAGCTAAGCAGATAAGATTAGTGGATAAAGATTCTGTAGAACCCGCTTGTTTGGTACGGCTCAAAATCCAATTAAAATTGAAAATATAGTCGTTATTGGGTCCCACTCATCTAATAAAAGTCAACAATAACGGCTAATTTTTCAATTTTGATCCTATTTTTATCTCTACCAAGCACCCTCTGAGTATGGATTCTGACACACACTATTTCAGATCTTCTTGATTCTGTAGAACCCGCTTTCATCTCGTCCACAGAAGGTGCTATAGGGATCTGGAGCTATTACTCAGAAAGAAGTGGACTTTTCCAAGATGAAAGGAATCAATTTCGAAATATTTCAGACTGGAATACCAAAATGAAGAAAATCTGGATCGTGAAACCCCTGCTTTTAAAAAGCATATGATATAGCATTACAGCTATTGCTGAGGCTGTGACAAGATTATGCAGTAGCAGCACTAGCACTACTAATCCAAATTTATTGCTCAATGAAATTTTATTTAACAATTTCATTGGCCTAAGTGGTAAAATATTACAGAAATATATATTCAAAATTGTTAACTATTAGAAATAATATTGGGTCTAACTCAATCTAACAAAATCGACTTGTTAGGGGAGGATTGCCCTCGCCTTATTAAGTGGATTGTGTAAATATCAACAATTAATGTGGGACTCTAGAATATTAACATTGTTTTTTGGAGTTATAAAGATCTTGGCATTTGCTCTTCTGCTTGCTAATAGATCTGATTTATGGAGTTCACTCAGCTCTTTTCTAAGTCGAGCTCAACTGTGGGGATTACAGTGAACGCTTGATTTCGGAGGGCATATATATATTCTCGAACCCTTTTACTCTGGATTGTGGTTAGTTACTGGTATTAAAACACGAGAGAAGACCCCAAGGTATTAAAAGCCTTTTTTGATTGACCATTAATGACTAAAGACGAAAGAGATCGATTCTAATTGCTTGAGGACTTTCATGTTCTGCTGAGATGACTTTAAATTGCATTCTCCAGTTTCCATTTGTTGGGTATTCCCTCCTAGTG